CCCCCCCCCCCATTTGGCAGATGATGTGAAGCCAAAGTTTGAGATAGGATTTTCTCCTTTCTATTTTATTTCGTATCCTTTATATAATGTAAAAAAAAAAAAAAGGAGTGTGCGTCGCTCTGCTCCTGAACAGGGACAGCTGCCGAGACCGACACCGCAACGCAGCGGTGACAAGTTAATAAGCTTCTCCGCCTGGTTCCATTCTTGCCCCCGCGTAGATTCAATGCAGAAGCATCCTATACAAATATTTAAATCATTATGATAAGAACGTCGCGTATAGCCCTTTGGTCAACATCAACAATTTAAACATAAAGACTTACGTCATATGCATTTTTAACAGCTTGCGCCAGGTACTCCTTTGTTGTTTTATCCCCCCCCTGGGCGTGGCAAAGAAGGGTTATGTGAAGCAACAGGGATGTGGGTCCATATGTGTGTGTTTATGCTTGTCTGTTCATATAACGTTCCTCGCCTATTCTGGGCACCTGCCCATTTGGCCACCTTCCCACCTGCTACACCACTGCTACACCGCTGCCACCCCCCCAGATTTACCACGATGAGGGAATAAGCGGATTATACAAGGGGTTAATACCCATGCTGGCTCACATCATATCGAAGTAAATTTCGTGAAGTGCATATTCTGCTTACCTTGCACGTTTAAAGAGGATGAAGAGGAGAGGAAGTGCCGCATATGTTTTTTTTTTCACTTTTTTTTTCTCTTTTTTTACCGGGCAGGAAGTCCATTTATTACCTACTCGAAAAGATACATTTTGTCATTCGGAGCAGAAGGAGTAGGGACAGAGAAGATCGTGAGAGGTTCTTGGCCGATTATCACACGTCTGCGCGAATGTGCACATGCAGATCGGCTTCCACCCCTTCCTCTCGCAGGAAGAGAACAACGGAGGGGTTCATACAACAAGGGGAAGGCACCTCGCCGCTACGGACACAGATTTGCGGACGGTGGCAACCCTGGAGACGATCATGAAGACGACTGCGAAGACGACCATGGAGACGACCTCGAAGATGACCGCGAAAACGCGACCAACTTCATCGGGGACGAGATCAACTTGCAAGTTGTGCGGCAGATGGATATGGTCAGGGACGATGACGACTCCGTTAAGAAGAAGAAGAAAAAAAAATATTTCCACCTCTCCTTTTACCACAGCTTTTACGAATACCTCAGCTGCGTCCTGTCCTACCCCCTCCTGAACATATCGACCAAATTGATCGTCTTCCAAAACAATTCGGTGTCGCTCATGAACAGTAATGCGGCTGAGAGAGGGGCACTGCCTGTGGCAGTGCCAGATTGGTCTCCGACCCAATCTATCGTCCACCTCTGCCGCCCCGCCGATCATCCACTTCTTTCCCCCTCCCCTCGCAGACCTAAAAGCCCTGGTCCACCTGACCTACCTGTACGACGGAGTCAACGGCTTCTTCAAGGGACTAAACAGCTACCTGCTCATACAGTCGATGGAGAAGATACTTAACTGCTTCCTCTACCGAGCCTTTTCTGACAGCTGCTCGTATGAGAAGGTTCTCACCATTAAGGTGGTCCTATCAAGTTGGTGAAAAGACAGAGGCGAAGCGAAAAGGGGGTGGACCCAGTTCAGCTTTCACCACGTGTGCAGCTGCTCTACCCTTGTGTCTTATCTCTACGCCAACTTTTTTTTTTATTTTTTTTTTTTTTTTTCCCACCTTTTTTCAGCATGCCTGAACACCATCATGGCGCCGTACATTCAGTACTCCATCCTTAACAGGTCCCAGTCGGTCGTGCCGGTAAGGCATTTCCCCTCCTTTTCGATTCGTGCAGGCCTAATCGCTTCAGCTGCGGAGCGGCCTCACAGAGGGAGAGTATATCCATCTTTGTGTGTATACGCAACTGGTGATGACCCCCCGTTTGTTTCTTTCCACCCTCTTCAGGGCCTTTGCCAAGACGCAAGCTTTAGCCATTTTTTTTGCAATTTTCACTGGAAGGTGAGATCCTGTTGTTTTCGCACTGTTGTTTCTTCCTCTTGAACCATATGATGGGGAAGTAGTGTCATTTTGTCTTTTTTTTTTCTTCCCCCTTTTTTTTTTTTTTCCTCTCTTTTTTTTCCTTTTTTTTTGCATTTTTTTCGATTACCGTTCCGCTACCCCCCTGCAGAGTCACCTGTCAAATGTGTCGGTCGGATTAGCCGTTGCTGGGATTCAGCTCATCGTAAGAGGGAGAGAAGGAGGGGCCTCTCGCGGAAGGTCCTGTCACTCTGCATATATGAAGACGTGTTCATATGTACACCTACCTATTTGGGTCCCCCTTTTTTCCTCTTTGCAGATCATCGCGCTGCTCCCGAGGGAAACCCCCAAGAGCGACGAAGTTGTGGACCAGGAAAAGGACGAGTACTTCTGAAAGGGCACATTGTCCCCATTTGGCGCCCCGTGTGGGGGGGAAGAAGAAAATGCAAAAAAGGAATGTGAAACCCCTCCCGTGCGCAGCGCGTTTAGCTTAACATGAACTTAGCTTAGTTTAGCGTGATTTATTTATTTTTTTATTTTATTACATTATTTTATTTCTTTTTTCCAACCGCGTAATAACCCCATTTTAATCCTTCATCCGAAAGGTTCATTTTTAAATGACGAACGGGGGAACCTCCGTATTCTTGTCCTTCTCCCTGCTCTTTCGCTTGAGCTTGTTCTTTTTCTTTTTTTTTTTTTTTTGAAGTCCATTGTGTTGGACTCTGCCAAGGCGAAACCTGTTTGTTTGCGGGAGTGCCAATGACACGTTGTGGTGAGGCTACAATGATCCGTTGTAGATGGGGCAAATGTCTGTGCATTCGGCTGTTCCGGGGGGGATAGTCCATGGATTGGACAGGTCCGTCGCCCCTTCTGTGGCGACTTATGCAAACCGTGTGCACCCACCTGTTGCGCATTTGAATGTGCACTTGCAGGGGACTCTTCGAAATTGGTTTCACCCCTTGGAGGAGGGGAGCTCCAAAAGGAGGTTAACCATTTTGACGAAATTGATGTATGCATTTTGGGGAGGAGAATGAGAAGTTCGCTGCAGGGCGCTGACTAATCACGCGAGGGGCAAGGAAAAAAATGGGGAGTAGAAAAATGGCAAGTACAAAAATGGGAACTGCAAAAAATGGGGAGTAGAAAAATGGGAACTGCAAAAAATGGGGAGTAGAAAAATGAGAACTGCAAAAAATGGGGAGTAGAAAAATGAGAACTGCAAAAAATGGGAAGTACCTACTGGCACACACATTCGCAGCGCCTGCAATTGCTTTGAGGGGTCGTCTTTATGGTCGTCTCACCCCTTCCTTTCGTGAAAAAAGAAAAAAAAAAAAAAAACAGTGTGGCATCCGCCGCCGAAGTCCCGCGCTTGCGCCTGCGCCCGCTCCTCGCGTGCCCCTCGTCTTTATGTCTCACATTTGCTAAAGCCCCGTGCCCACGCCGAAGGAGGTGCCTAAACGTTGGAAGGGAAGCCGACTGGAGCACACTAAAACCTTTGTAACGCATTCAACGTGACTGTCCATACGTCCACAATATTTTCCTCCCTTTATACATAACTCACCGGTAGGGAACCTTTCCCCTTTGGTTCACACAAAATTGAAAATGCAGAAAGGTTTCTATACATTCTGCAGGGGAAACTGACAGGGGTGAATTTCTTTTTTTTTTTTTAAGAATTTCCCTGGTGTGAGAAATTCAAGCCATCTTCCCTCCCCCCTTATCAGCCGTTTTGTCATTTCATCCCCCCAAGCTGCGACAGCATCGAGATAGTGACTCGGCGAAGAGGCCAATCGAGGAAGGTGTGTACCATCGTACGGGTTGGTCACTTCGCGCAGTCTTCCACTTGTATTTGTTTTTTCTTCCTTTTTGTTCCTCCATTTTTTTATGTTTTCTGTTTTGTTGTTCCTCCATTTTTTATGTTTTCTCTTTTTTTTTTTTTTTCCCCGCTTAGGTGTTGTTCCCAATTCCCCATTTAGAAACACCCTCCCTGTGAGGTGCCAAAGGGACGACTGGCGCTGCTTTCGTTTGAAGAGGACCGACTGGGTGACACGCTACATGTTGTTGGGCGGGTAAATATGTCATGGGTGTGGGGGTTCCCTTGACTGGGGCACAGCGATGGTCCCCGTGGCAGTCACCGTGATGGTCCTCGTGACAACCCATTAGCGTGTTATACACACATGCACGCACACCCCCTTCATGGGTCCACTTCCCTCGTCCACCTCTTCCCCCGCAGTAGCGCTGACCTCTTCGAGCAGTCTGTGCCCTTACAGCCCGTCACAAGCACCAACGCGATCGAGCAGTCAAACGGTGAAATAGGGAAACCGCCAAACAGCCAAACGGCCAAACAGCCAAAAGGCCAAACAGCTAAATAGCCAAACAGCTAAATAGCCAAACAGCTAATAGCCAAACTGCTTTTTTTTTTTTTTTTTTTCCTTTTATTGGCACTACTATTCCAAGGTTTGTTACAAAAAAAAAATAAAATAAAAATAAACCCCGCGTTGTGAGGTTTTACAATTCTCACGTCCCCCCCGCGTTTCCCAGTTGGTATCTGACTTTTCTCGATTTCCTTCCGCTTTGTTCTGCCCCTTTATTTTGTTACTTTCCCACCCAGCGCTATTTCACACAACACCACGAATGTACACAAAATGGGACATAAAAAAAAACAAAACAAATCTTCGCGGCCACCGTTGTAGAAACAGCAACACATTCGCACACACATGTGAGCGTGTAATTTGTGCGTACTGCTAACGTGCGTTTTCTTTTGTTCTGTTTTGTTCTTTTTTTTTTTCTTTTTTTTCTTTTTTTTTTTTTCTTTTTTCTTGTTTATTACTACCCCGTTGTTTATATTTTTTTCGTTCTGCTAAGCGGCATTGTGTTAATCGTCTTTACGCAAAACATTTTTCCGTCCGTTTCTGTTTCTTTTTCTGTTTGTGTTTTTTTTTTTTAACTGCTTCATTTCTGGTTGGCTAGTTGTTCCCTTCGTTTTTGCCCCCGTCTCGCATCCTTAGAAACGCTAAGCTGCGAAACGGCCGAACTGCTAAACCGTGAAACGGTGAAACCTCCTGACTGCATCACCGCTTCGCTTCACCGCTTCGCTTCACCGCTTCACGGCTACCGCCCCTCTTAGATGCTCTCCTCCGCAGCCCCCAAAAGGTACAAGTTCGACCCTAGGGGAAATCTGACCCAAGTAAACTTCCTCGCGTGCAAAAGCGTCGTCCCACCGCAGAAACACATCAACTCGAAGAATAGCCTCACCTGCTCCACCAGCATAATCCCTGAGTTCCACGAGACGACACACGACTGCACCACTTCCAAGATGGCTATGTCACAGGAAAACATTTTCGAAGCAGAACCGATAAGTACAAGCTCCTATGCACATGGAGGGGGGGGACGACCCTCCTTACTCAGCATGAATATGATCCATAGTGGCAGCGGTGGAAACGATCCATCCCAGTACGGACCAGATGAGTATGCAAACGTGAATATGATGCAGACTGGATTAGCTGGGCCTCAAATGAACAACGCCCCATTGATTTTTGTAGATGGAGCTCCGTACTGTCCACAGGACGTAGGACAAGGAATGGACCCCGGAGTGGTGGCTGTGTCCAATGCTCTCTTCGCATACAACAGCGCGTTTCAATCTATTCCCATAAAGACCTCTCCCAATGTATTTCGACGAAGGACAAAGGGGGAAGGCAACTCCGAGTGGTGCAATGCCTTTGTCACGAGAGTCGACCCCTGCGAGTGTGGAGACCCCGATGAACAATTCAAGCCCTACGAGGTCACCAAGTATTACGACGACGGCCAGGTGAAGACCGTCTTCAACTTTGACCAGGACTCCGCTCCGCAGGAGCAGCCCCTCTGAGGAGCATAGAAGTTAGGAAGGGGGGGGAAAACCTCACGCCCGGGAGTGACTCTGGCGCGGGAATTTGTTGCTTGCACCCCGCGCGTAGCGCTGCTTTTAAAGGGGTAGCGAGTAAGACACACAACGCCCAGCCTGGCGTGTTCCCTTTCCCCCATCCCGTCCCCTTGCATGGCTTTATTCATCCGTCGCGGTTGATTTAACTTCACCGCCGTCTGACCCAACCGGGCGACACGCGCATTTGTAGCTACGTGCGTCCATGTGTACCTGATTTTTTTCCCCCTCTTTTCTTCCGCGGCTACCTGTATGTGCACACCTGTGTTGTTCATCCTGGCCAGGCAGCTTGTCTGAAGTGTCTTTTTTAATTACGCCTCCACACCAGCGCGTCGCCCCTTTTTTTTTTTTTTTTTTTTTTTCGAGCCGACGCGGCATGAGAAGTAACCCCAACGGAGTATTATACTCCCTTCGCCTTTAAAGGAAACAAAATTTGAACAAAAAATTGGAAGCGGCTTCTATGCACCACCAATGTGTGTCCATCATGAGGTAAAGGGGTGGGAGGATGGACAAGGGAAGTAACTTTCAAGCAGTGAAAGCGCACCTTTTATTGTGTCACTGGAAGTTGGGTAAGCTTGACCCGATAGGAAGTGGAAGAGTAGCCAGGTTTAAAGGACCTTGCGGGTGGGGGGCACTCCCAGGTGCTTCTTTTATTTATTTGTTCCTTCTATTTGTTCCTTTTATTTGTTCCTCTTATTCGTTCCTCTTATTTCTTCGTTTTATTTTTTTTTTTCCTGGCTGCGCTGTGGTGTACATACAGCTGCCACCAAGCCGGGAAGTGAGCAACTGCAGGAAGTAAACATTCAAGGGGAAGGTCAGTGGTGCTGGGCTGATCGGCCTTGCACGTCATCGTAGCGTGTTCATTGCTGCTTCGCTTTCATTGCTACTTCTACTTCACCGCGGCTTCTCCTTCTCCGCTGCCCCTCTTCAAACTGAAGTTCCATCGAGTTCGCATTTCTGTCTAACTCATTTATTAAAACGACGACCTGTGCACATTTGGAAGAAACACCTGCGACGAACCGCCACAAAGCTGAGGTTCTCGTTTCGACTTGTTGTTTTGTTTTGTTTTGTTTTGTTTTTTTTTTTTGTTCTTTTTCTTCTTTTTTTCCTTTTTTTTTGTCGCGTCTTTTCGCCGTCCCACAGGAGAAGGCGATAACGACAACGCAACTGCAGGTGTAAGACCGCTTTGCCGATTTCTTGTCCCTCCTTGCGAACAGCCAAGTGCAGAGGACATCGGTGACTGCATTCCATGCACCCCAAAGGAGGAAGAATGGCAAAGACCACGTATTTGGCCCTGTTTTGTTTCTGCGTGCTGAAGGGCATCTGCGTCCTTGGGAGGGATCCCGAAAGTGGACTGGAGAGGATAACAGAGTTTAGGCAGCAGCACAGGAAGACGCTGGACGGGAGGCTATGCGCTGCTGCCTTCCTGCACGACGACCAGACATACACGGACTGTACCAGCGCGACTTCTCCTGACGGGACTAGCGGTTTGTGTAGAGTGCAGAGCGCCCCCAGGGTGTAGTGGAGCGGCAGTGGAGAGGGAAGTGTGGTTAAGCGTGGGAAACATACCACCACCACACGCGTCACTGTACAGGGGGGAAAGAGGCACAGGAGAGCAGCTCCTCGTGTAGAGCTAGTACTTCTCACCGTAAACTTGCCCCTTTTTTTACATTCTCATCCCTTCACTTTGACTACCCCCTACAAAACCAACCCTGCAGGGAGAGAATGGTGTTACGTGGAAGTGCAGCTACTGGGGAAGGGGTCCCGTGACTGGGACTACTGTGCGAATGAAGTGAACTACAACAAGCTGAGGCTTCATGCGAAGAAGGTTTTCGAAGATAAGTCTATCGAGGCAGATCGATTGAAAGAGAGATTGCACGTGCTGAACAGCCGAGTGCATAGTATGTTACAAAAATATGACTCCGTGTGTGGAAGCAAGCACCAAGTGGTAGCCTCCAGAATAGGAAAAATAAACCAGTGGGTTGAGACCAGTGTAGAATCTCTAAAGCGAATTGAAGAAAACGCTACCGATTTAGACGCAACGAAAAATATAATGGATAAAGTACAGATGGAGATGAAACGAGAAAGTAATGGATTCATAGATGCAGAACACAACTGTGAGCATCTTGATGGGTATGAAAAGGAACCGCACAGTGATGGGCTCAAAGTGTCCTACTTTAATAACCCCTTCTTAGAAGGAATCCCAGTGGAGAGTAAAATGGAGAAGAAAATCAACTTTGCCTTCAGCAATAGAGGACCATTGGAGATGATATCTCCCTACAGATACTCCCTCCGATATGAGGGGTACCTAATGATTCCACACAATGGGTTGTACACCTTTACAATCGAGACGAACTGCTACGCGAGGCTGCTATTAAACGGGAAGGTTGTCCTCTCACACGGGTTTGCGGAATCAGGTAGAAAAGAAGGGAGAGGAGGAATGGAGCCGACACAGACGTTTAGTAGAGGGGACCAGTCCTCATTGGAGTTACCAGGGGGAGGGAAGGCTTCCTTGCTGGATCTCCATGGGGGAGTCGTCTCTACGTTAGTCCAAATGAATGACGAACCGAGCAACGTAGTGAAGGTGTCCAAGCCAATCGAGCTGGTCGGGGGAGAAAAGAGTAGGTTCATCTTAGAAGTGTCCCACTCGTCTCACTTGAATTACGAGAATGGGGGGTCCTCTCCACATGGGGATCGCGGCCAAAAGGACGAAACCTCCTCAGCGACCTCCTTCGCATTATTTTGGCAGTCCAGCAGAATGGATAGGCAGCCCATTCAGAGTAGCTACCTATTCCAGGATAATGTGGTCCCTCCCGTGAGGTTCTCCGCACTGGATGCAGACCTCTTCGACATCGGAGTAGTGAACAAAGAAGAGCCCGTCTTTATGGACGATGCCAACTGGGTGATCAGCAGCATACCGAGTAAGTACGTCGGTTTGCATCTGCTGAAGACGAATTTTAGACCCCATTTTTCACACTTCTCTGTATCTATGAACACGGGTTGCAATATCTACATCGCTGCACCGGTAGGGGAGATCTTCCCCCTGAGTCCGTCCAAAGATGGAACGACGTGGAGAGCATTCGACACGGACGACGACACGGTGGAAGTGGTTCAAAATGTAACAAAGGAGAAGAAGATGTTTAAGCTCAAGTTCATTCCTCTGAGGAATGAGACGGTCTTAAGATTTGATGTCCTTGTTGGAGTTCCCTTTTGGATTATGTCACAAGGGAGGAAAATCTTACCAACAATCTGTCCGGGGGATGAGGAGGTATTGTCGAACCCACAGAATGAGGCGTTTAAAGAGTGTACCGCATCGAGTAGTCTATCTCCTGAATTTGACTGCCTAGCTGGATTGAGCACGTATCATAGAGATAAGAAGAATCACACGTGGAGGAGTTCCAATGGATCTATAGGTCAGTTTATAAAGATCTACTTTAAGAAGCCTGTACAGATTAGTAAGTTTAAGTTTAAGCCCAGAGATGACATGCTGACTTGGCCGTCGGAAGTGGCTCTCCATTTTGATGATGATGAGGAGCTAGTCCTACCAATCCTGCACACAAACAATATGGACCATAATACGACTCGGTTAGAACATCCAATCATTACTACATCGGTGAAGATAGAAGTGAGGGACATGTTTGAAAGAGGAAATGAAAATATGAATAACACAGGGGGTTCTTTCGAATTAATTGGAAGCAGATGCGACCTGATGGAAGACGATTATATGACTCATCATGCAGTGATAGACATAACCCAGTGTGGAAGCACGTTAAATACGATGCCAGATGTTATGCCTTTGATGAAGGGGAACAAAGTACTTGCCATTTGTCATCCTAACTGTTTGGAGAACGTCGATAAGGAAGTTGCTTACGGGTCCGAATTTTACTCGACCGATTCAGCTATATGTAAGGCGGCGATACACGCAGGGGTATGCAACCGTGATGAGAAAGACAGCTGCCACTTCCTAATTGTAGTGAATTCTGGTCAGGCAAACTTCGTCGGAACGTTGCAGAATAATGTCATGTCTCTCAGTCGAAGCGGTAACTCGGATTTCTCATTTTCCCTCTCCCGTGCGTTCCCCACTCGGGGTGGTTCCAACGGGTCCTACGGAGGGAGCACTCCGAGTAGCTACTCCGTCGTGTTTAAGTCAAGTGACAATTTTGCTTTACCGAACGGGTTCTTAGTCGACTCGGGGAGAGAGTTCACCGACTACGGGAGCTTTGGTTACGGATGGAAGGAGGCAGTGCGGTCTACTTCGTCTTCCCCTACCTCTACTTCGTCTTCCCCTACCTCTACTTCGTCTTCCTCTACCTCTACTTCTTCTGTTAGTTCTACTTCGTCTTCTTCTACTTCCCCACCGCTAGCAGAATCGATCTCCCTCAAGGGGAACTCCCCATTCGCGGGGCTCTCCTCCGGTGGGATCGAATTTCCCCCTGCCTCAGCTAGCCAAAATTGTATTTCCGAACTGAACTGCCAGGCCAACTTCTGGAAGTTTCAGACACACGAAAATGGCACCTACTCGGTGCAGGTGCTAGTGGGGAATAAGACATCCCCTGAGAAGCAGAAGGCCTTTGTCGAAGTGAATGGCATTCCCATCATAAAGGGGGTAGAACTTGGACGTGACGAGGTGTTTGTCGCCACGGAGAGCGTCCAGGTGACGAACAGGTCCCTCGTCTTCACGTCCACTTGCCTCGGCGGGGAGAGCGCCTGCGCGCGGGCGCAGGTCAGCATCCTGGCCGTTCAGATAGTGAAGGGATAAGGGGTGTGTGTGAAGGGGCCCTTTGCTGTCTCTGCTGAGTTACCGTTAGGCCTCAGGCCAACTATTTTGACCTGCACCGTTTTCCCCGCGTGTCGGTGGGCCGATTTGCCTGAACTGTGCAGGTGAAAATCGTTCGCGTGGCGCAATTTTGTCTCGTTGCATCGGCGTTGCGCTCCTCAATGAGGGGCGCTTTCTACAAACTTTTTTTTTAAACACCCACTTTGGTGGCACCGCTAAGCAGACACACAGCAGCGACGTTGGATGGGAAAAAATAAAATAAGACAAAATAAAACAAAATAAAGCAAAATGAAATAAGTTACAATAACGTAACATAAAAGTAAGATAACTAGTAGTGCGGAACCACTTGCATGTTATCATCATTTTGGTGGTTCCCCACCGAGTGGACTCTCCACTTTTTCTTTCCCCTTTTCTTTCCCCGGTTTCTCCTTCTTCTTTCCTTTCCGCTTTTTTTTTATTCTTCCTGGCCCTCCTCCTGCGGCACCATGCAGTGGAGCTTAAAGCGGGAGAGGACACTGGTGAGGCCGCCAATAGCCACTCCGCAGCAACCCAGGTCGAAGAGGGGCAAAGCTTTCAGAGTAAACCCTGGAGGCAAATGAAAAATGCATCTAGAAGTCAGCGTAACTTGATATAGTCGTATGTACTCCTTCGGTCTCGTTATATGAGCAGGTAAGTAGGGAAGGTAGACGGAGTTAAATTGTGTCTTCCACCATTCACCTAGGAATTCTCCAATCTCGATGGGGTCTTCTTGTTCTTTCTCTTCCGAATTCAGATGGCTAGTCGAGAAATGCATGTCCTTAATCTGATTTATATACTTTTGTAGCTTCCTTTTTAGTACTTCCCTGGGCTTCTCCCACGATCTGTACTTACCACTTAGAAGGTAGTATGTCTGATTCTCTATATTCTGTAACAGAAGAAGGTGTGGGTACTCATATCTGTGACATAGGATAATTGCCAATGCTGAGTTTCGGATGCCATTTTCATTATATGCGTTTATCCGTTTCTTGCATTTGTCCATATCCATGATGAATTTACTTTTTAGTTTTTCAACAATGTTAAATTCGTAGTTGGTTTGGGGATATACCAGCCACTCGGACTTCCCCTCCCGCCCGCCGAGGTTGGCGACATTAGCGGGGGTAGCGGCGTCGGCGGGGGTAGCTGCATTGGCTGGGTTGACCGGGGTGATCGGGTTGTCCGGGCTCACCTGCCCCCCTTGGCCGGCCGTGGGCGTGCCGCTGGACGTGAGCATCTCTTCTACGGAATGGAGGATCGGCCGCTGTTCCCTTCGGTGGGGAAGCGACGGCTCTGTCCCATTTGTTCCGCTCAGGAGCGCTTCGGATGGTGGTTGCACTGGTAAGGGGTACGTACGTATATGCGCACGGTATGCCTCCTTCAGGGCGGGGAGGGGCTCTCCTCAACGCCAAAGGGGCTTAACCATAGGCGAACTGAATGGGTCCCTGGCGGACAAGCCTTCACAGGAACAGATGGCAGCCTTCCACGGTTTGGACTATGTTTCACATTACGTTGCAGGGCCAACGCAGCTGTGGTTAGGAGAGGGCTTTGCTGCCTAATGGGAAGTGTACCCCTTACACGTCGTCCTCGCTCTGCCTCTTTTTGATAAAACTTTTTCTATCTTGGTTGGTGCTGTTCGTCGCCCCCCCCCGTTTTGCCGCACCACCGATGTTTTGATGCACCGTTTCGCCCATGCACCCACTGCCTTTTGCTGGTCCCTCTCTGGGGTATCAACCTTCCCCGCGTGGAGACCACACCACATTGCACGTTTTTCCTCTCGTTTTGCTCGTCGCAACGAACGTTGGTCGGATTAGAAGTGGCCGCTCCAGGGATGCACGTAGCGTTGTTACCAATGTGGGTCATACTTTGATACGAAGCGGCAGCCGCTGTGATTGCGCGCAGTGGGAAGTCCCCCCTGACGGGCACACCTCCGCACAGATGAGTTGTACGTAACGTGCATGCCTACACGTTTGGGATGGTTCTCCTCCTGAGGCAGGAAACATTTGTGGGGGACGCCCCTCCCTAGCCCCGTCGCCTTTAACGTGTTCCCGTAAAGGGTCACTGCTTAAGAGTAGCTCCCCCCCTGTAGCAATCACCCCGCTGTTAATACCTCCCTTTAGGTTGTGCCTTTTTTGCAAAAAAAAAAAAAAGTTGTGATGGCGCATTGGCGAGAGCATCGATTAGCACATCGACTAGCGCAATGACTAGCTCGGTGGCCTGCTGGGAGGCCGCTCCCCTCAGGCCGGCTTCTCCTTCTCGACGTGCTTCAGCCCCGCGCATACGTAGCGGTCGTAGAAGTATTTCCCGAAAAGGAGCAAATACGACGTGTACATAACGACCGCGTAAGCGACATTCCTCCTGCACACGTAATGGCCATAATCGAAGGTAAACTTGTGCTGCATTTTTCGAATGACTCGGAGGTGCCAGTAGGTGTTGAATTTGTAATTGTACGTTATGTAGAGACAGTAAAGTGTGAGGAGGATGCCTAAGAGCATCTGTAAAATCTGAAGCAAGGTAACCAAGATATTCCAACATAAGGGCTTCCTCCTCACAGTGGTCATCGCATAGTAGGTATACATAATGGTGTGTACAATTGCGTTAATAATGATGAAGGTGAATCCTGCGGGTACTTCGGCATAGTAAGTGTGCCATGTGTATAGAAGGACGCTTGAGTGATGGAACCAGTGCAAGAGAGTGATTCTCTTTTTTCTCAATATTAAGAATAGCGTGTCTGCTAGCTCAACGAATTTTGACAGGATAAAGAGACAGACCCACAGACCGGAGGTGCCAAAGGCGTTGGTATATATAGGGGGGATGATCAGCAACCCGGTGAAGGTGTACTTCGAAATGGCATAGATCAGAACTGGGGTTAGCTTCACTACGACGATTAGGTTGAAGAAGGACAACAGGACATTCCATAGGAAGACTACTCTGCGCAGATCGAATTCCTTTCTGTTTTTCATTCCGGCGGGACCGTATTTGCACATGAGGAGGTAGAGCAGCACGATGAGGGGGCACGCCAGAAACTTGCCGTGCACCAGCTGAATGAATCCGAACGGCTTGAAGTTGCGCTCCCTGCGAGGGGGAAGCGATAAAGAGTGGAAGAAGCGGTGAAGATTTGAAGTAGTGTAGATTTGAAGTAGTGTAGATTTGGAGTAGTGTAGATTTGGAGTAGTGTAGATTCGAAGTGGCCTACAGTTGAAGCGGTGAAGATTTGAAGCTGTCAACTGTTTCGGATGCGCCTCTTATCGGGCCTAGCATCATTGCTTCGCCACCTCTCCACCACGTCTGCTTCGCCGCTGCTTCGCCGCTGCTTCCCTTCTGCCGCTCATCGAGCTGCCCCCCGTCGACCTACCACTGGAAGCTGATCCAAGCGCAGAAGGGAAAAACATCTTCGATCCTGAAGGCGGGCTGCGTGGGGTAGTTGCGAATGTCTCCCAGGATGCGGAAGTATCCAGAGTCGTTCGTTTTGATCACCATGTTGCTTATCATCAAGTCCGGTGGCCTGGTCCTGTTAGCGTAGCTCAGCGGTTTGTTAACCGTCCTTAGCGAAGTTGTTCGCCTGTTTCTCAACTGCCGTTTGGGCGATTTTCTCGGATTCCTGCTTGGCTTTCTTCTCGCCTTCCTTCCTGTCCGCCTGCCTCCGCGATCCTTCCTCGAGGGGGTAGTTTTCCCCGTGGAAGTGACTCCTCCGCGGCGGGTTCCACTTCTAGACGCGCGTCCGCCGCGTTCACTCAGCTTGGCCAAGGGTGAAGGGGCACACCAAGTCGGAAAAAAA